GCAAAAAAGTTCAAGTTGTGAGTCCTGCCCCAGTTGGCAGTAGATGGCCAAGGGGATGAATGAATGATTGGCGAAGATGGATGATTGTGGCCTAACTCCATGAGCTTGTGTTGAAATTTTATGTCGATCGGATACAATCTGACCATTGATCTATCATTGAATGTCCCCGATTTGCCGATTTATTAATCCCAATTTGAGACTCGGAATTTGTAAATTTTGGACTCCAAAGATGGATTCTACATGGCAAAAACCTCATTGACAATCATGCCCGAAGTTATCAAACCGCCCGATTAACCAGAACGCGCTAAGATGTAATGGAGCACCTTGCCCTGAGAAGCGCATGACAAATACGAAATCCTAATGTCATCTTCTTTATGCAGCATGTCGTGAAACGTAGAATTGTTAGATTCAAAATCCTGACTATTAGCCCTTGTATCTCCCTCTTTTCAAGTCCGATTGGCCTCATTTTTGCAGCATGGGATTCATCTCTCGTCCTAGTATTCATTCCATCATTCAGACGCCTCATTTTGTTTTTGTTTGGATGCCATCGGATCTCTGAAAGTTGACTAAAAATAAGATTATGCTATTACTCTTTTTTTTTTGTTCGGCTCTTTTCCTCAACTAAAGTGTGGTCAACAAAAGAATGTGCATGGTGGGAGAATGTGCTTCGAAAAAAGAACTTGGTGTTTCACGTTGTTAAATATGCACTCGGTGGCGAATAATCAAGGCCGTTCTCATTGCTAAAGGATAGAGCTCGGGGTTATAGATCTGCCGAGTAGCTTTGTAGCTTTGCCAAGCAATTTGCTATGAGTCGCGACATTGCCGAAATGCATATGCATGGGCCCAAACTTTGAATATAAATGGGGGCTGTAACGCTACCGAGCAGCCTTGTTGAGTTGCCGACCAGCTCCATTTGTTTTTAAACTCATGAACTTAGTGGCGTATGAACTTCGAGCTTTCGCTTTTATGGATGAGTTTGATGATCAACCATGACCACTGATTGCTCGAGTTCAAGTTCCTTGTTGAGTGATGTTGCTGATGAGCTTTCTAGAGAGAGAATCTAGGTCCAAACTTGGGTCTTCTTGTTCTTCGACTACACATGGCAATGGTGTTGTCCAACTGCTTTGCGGTGGTTAAGTGGATCACTTATGTTGACATTACTTCGGTTTCCATGACCATCCTCTTGGTGCTTGCCGAGCTTGGCCTAACTATTGGTGCCGATCGACACTTCTCTTAGCTTGCCGAAACACTTGGTCGACGTCGGTCATCAGAGAAATGGTGTACTGAACTCTGTCTGTAAACATCTTCTAGCAAGGCATAATATTTGTAATTAAATTGAAGGTTATAGGCATATATATATATATAGAAATCATAGTAAAGACAATAGTTATTCAAAAAGAAAAGATAGAGGCTCCATTTTAGAAGTGGGTTTCCCTAGGATCGCGCTTGTATGGCATGTCGTGCGATTGGGTAACAAACTGAGGAATGATGGATTGGGGTCGAAGTTGTTGAATTATTGTTGATCGGATTGGAACTCGGCGAGATGGCCATAAGGATGACTACAGCATTTCCAAACTAAAGTTGGGAAGAGTCGGCCATTCGGCTTGTTTGAACCATAACACAATTCTTTAATTCATGTTAATTGTTAGCACATGCACATATAAGTATATTGCAAAATCAACTTTTGTGAGGCATAATTTAATAAATAAAGACCTAGGGTGGGTTTGGCCAGGTAACCTTTTTTGTAAGGCCGAAAAGATGTTCTCACAAGGAAAAGTGCGAAATCCATTTTTAGAGAGAGAAAATCTAGACTCAAATGTAGATCCATTACCTTCGTCTTGTGTTTTTAACTTTCCTAAACAAAATTAATATTTATTTGACAAAATCTGTGAGCATGAATATATAGGCATATACATACACATATATATATATATATATACTAATATTCATAAACATAATGAAAAAGAGAGAAGACAAAGACCCAGCTGTAGATATTACACTGGTCCGAGTTCCTTAAGGGTGGTGTTTGCTCTGCTCTTCATTGAATTCTCAAATGATTCCTACAGACGGCGCCAATTGTGAGATCAGGAATATCCTCTCAAATGGATTGTAGAGATCCAACGAAAAGATGAGCTTAGTCTGTAATAACCCGACCCTCGTATATGCTTTCTGATTTATTATTAGTCCTTGTTTTATGTTTTAAATGTTTACTGCGAAATTCCATGAGAAATTAAGATTAAGTAAGTGAAATCCATGTTTAAGGATGTTTATCTGTTCTTTAAGGAACGTATCTGTTATACCTTAAATTTTTGACTTAGAAATTGGAAGCCTTAACGGCTTAATTATCTGAAATTGATTATATATCTGTGATCAGCATAATTTTTACGTAATATTAAGTATGTTTGCGAAATTTCAATTTCGAAACGATTAAACGATGGAATTTTGTCTTATATGCCTTTATATATATATATATCAAAGTCTAGGTTCCTTTAAGCTTGAGCAAAAATAATTTGAGAATCTCCAGGAGACGAAAAAGCAAACGAAAGAAGAGGGAAAAAGGGAGAAACAAGGGCAAGGCTCAACAAGGAAGGGGAATTGAGATTAAATTAAGAGGATCCTTGCAATTTTTAAAGTTCAAGGTATGTTAAATTGGTTGTATACGAGAATTCTTCTTTCAATTGTGTAGAAGGGTTTGTTATGATTCATGTTTGATGATTTAGGGTTGTCATGAAGAATTGTTCATAATTTATGTTTGATTGAAGAGAATACTCATCAATTGGTTGCTTTGATATGCAAATTGTACCTCACTCTTTGTTTCTCATGTCAAATCCATGAAAATATATTTATATAGTGTATGATGTTTAATAAACATGAGGAACATGCATTAAAGATGGAAGTTAGAAGGATTGTAACTTGATACAACTTCTAATCATGTGTATTTGTGATACTTAAGTTCCAAACCATGATATGGTGATGTTGGATTAATGTATTGCATTAATTTCTCCTTGTCTTGCATGAATAATGAAATGGTGTTGCAGAATTTCTGGTTGAACTTCAAAACTGTCCAAAACAGGGGCACGGCCGCTCGAGCGGAAAGGAAGAAAATTTATATGTTCTGTTTTACGTGCTGGACCCTCAGTTATTTTTAGATTATGTTTTTGATGATCTTAGATGGTTATAAATTCACTTGAAGCGTAACGAATGAGGAACTAATTTACCAAGGGAAAAGAAGAACTAATATGCAAGTTTTGATTGTGTACAGGACACACTCTGGGAGGAAGTAGCACGTCGTCTCAACACCACAGTGAGTAGTAGTACCATTACATGCTTCATATGTATAGCTAATGATTGTCATTAGCATCTTGTTCATACATGATATGTGATTATGTTCATGTTTTAATGTGTGTATATAAAGAAATGGGGAAGATGAAGTATTTTCATTCTCTAAGATTATGGGCCTTTGGCCATATTGTATAAGTAGCTACGTTATGAAACAAAGTGCTACATGGGACTAAGTGCTACATTGTGAGTCACCGCTAGAACCCGTGTGAGACACCTCTTGAGTTCATGCAAGAATTTACAAGGGCTTAACGCCAATTTACAAGAGCTTAGTGCCAATTTACAAGGGCTTAATGCCAAATGATTCAAGGGCTCCATTCCAATTTATCCAAGGGCCTTGCACCACTAAGTTAATGGGCTTCATGCCACCATGTTAAGGGTTTGTGCCACATTATGTAAGGGCTTTAAGCCAAAACGTTATGTTCGAACCAATATGTTCCATGATAAGATCTAAGACTATTATGAATAAGTACAGGCTCAGACTCGTAATGTGAATGCTGCATTAGTATACGAAAGTACATATTTGAAGCTTTAGATACCAGGTTGGAACTTTACTTGGCATTGTAGAATTTCAGAATTTGCATGGTCCGCTCCAGCGGAGGAATTTTCCGCTCGAGCGTGAAATTCAACCTCTCAGCAGTTTTTCAGAAATTTCGCTGTCCGCTCGAGCGTGGGAATTCCCGCTCGAGCATAAAAATCGACCGCCCAGTATTTTTGTTAAGTTGTACAGTCCGCTCGAGCGGGGACACATTTTCAGGGAAATTTGGAAAAGTTGCATTTAATTTATATGTCTATCCTCATCTATTTCCAAGGCATGTTTGACACAAAATATGGTTCAATAAGTGTTGAGAAGTTACGAAACTATGTCTATTCTTTTACTACGGTTCAAGTTAAGCATCACTTTGTTACGTATCACTATTCACTGAGCTTGGCTCACCCTTTGTCATGTCTGTGTCTGTAGGTAACCAACTAGGAGGTCAGCCGTAACCTGGAACGTCTGTTTCTTTCGTCAACCTGTATGAGCCCGAGTACTAAACGAGAGCACTTATTTTGTGAAGTCTTACTGTATTTTGCTTACTCATTTAAGGTTGATTGTACATGGCACTAATGTTTTTGTATATGCCTTACCATAAGGTTGGAACTGTGTATGTATGTGTATATAACTGACACTAGAGGTATCATTTTGGCTTGTAACTAATTGTCATAGTGTTCATGATGCATGTGATCCTGGCATATTAGAAGTAGCTCAATGGAGATTCTTATTATTTTGAGTTCTAGTGCTTCCGTTAAGGCCCCGTATACTACGTACAATAGTGTATTTATCTGTTTTTGTTTAGGTCATGCCCAAACTCTTAGGGGCGGGTTTAGGGCCGTGACAAGTGGTATTAGAGCACGAGTTGCTATCTCACACACGGATCCATTGAGCTCTAGGATGTCTAGAAAAGATTTAGGCATTTTGCATGATATTCTGAAAGTATATAAAAGATCGATGGCAATGCTACAAGTACTTTGATAAGGCTAACAATTTTGAATATGGTTATTGTATACAACTGCTTGTTGTGTCAGGCAATGGTGAGAACAAGGACAAAAGAGGCGGAAGATGCTACTACAGCGCGGTTGGATAGAATGGACAGAATGATTTTCGAAATGGCGGTGACCTTATGACAACAACAGCAACAGCCACCAGAACAACCGCCACCACCACCGGTACCTCCACCGGCAGTACAAGACTCCCAGGTTGAAGACCGAACTATTACCCTTATCAAAGAGTTTAAAAAGATGAAACCGCCGTCCTTCAAAGGAGGAATAGAACTAATGAAAGCTGAAGCATGGGTGTTGTGAATAGAGAAGTTATTTGAAGTCTTTCCTTGTACCGAAGCTCAGAAGGTGCAATTGGCTGCATTCACTTTTGAGGAAGAGGCGTGGAGATGGTGGATGCTTACGAGAACTAGACATCAAGGATTGACCGGGGATAGGTTTTTGGAGAAATTCTACGATAAATATTTCCCACAGAGTATGCGAGATAAAAAGGTGACTGAATTCGAAACCCTTAGGCAAGGGAACAAGACTGTTGCTGAGTATGAAGCCCAATTTGCCGAATTGGCCCGGTTCGCACCTCATATGGTGGACACGAACTATAAGAAGGCACGAAAATTTGAAGGGGGATTACGGGGTGCTATTCTGGACCGAGTTAATATGTTGAAGTTGCCTACTTATGTAGAAGTGTTGGAGAGGGCCGTTATAGTAGAAGGGAATATTAATGCACAAAACCGAATTTCTGAATGGAAAGGAAAAAGGCAAACCAATCAGGGGTCGAAGGGGATAACTGCTCTACCAAATAAGAAATACAATTCAGGAACTTCAAATGTTTTTACCCCTAATCAAGATTCAATTCCTGTATGTGTGGAGTGTGGAAAGAAACACCATGGAATATGTTATCGGAAGTCGGGAGCCTGCTTCCAGTGTGGGAAAACGGGACATGTGATAAGGGATTGCCCTCAAAAGAAGCAGCAACAAAGTGGCAACCGGACTACTACCAGTTCAGCGAGGTCCGCACCAACTACCAACACCAAGGCATCAGTCAACCCGAATAACAATAAGGAAGCCGCGCGATAAGGCAGGGTGTTTGCATTGGTTCCGGGGGATGTGCAAAAGGCGACGACAGTGGTGTCAGGTACATTTATGGTTCACAGTCATTCTGCTTGTGCATTGTTTGATTCCAGTTCCATCCATTCTTTTGTGTCAAAGCTATTTACTCCTAATTTAGATACATCTGAGGAAGTATTATCTTATATGCTGTGTGTGTCTTCACCGTTGGGAGATTCTATGATTTGTACTTCTATATATGCTGCATGTGAACTCCACCTTGGGGATATTCGGGGTATACGCTAACTTAATACCTCTCGATATGATGTATTTTGATATTATACTGGGGATGGACTGGTTGAGTGAACATAGTGCAACTATAAATTGTTTGACTAAGCAAGTGAGTTTTTATCCTCCGGGTCAAGCAGAATCTACAATTCGGGGACAGGAGGTGACTTCTCCACCGTATTTGATTTCCGCAGCAAAGGCTTGTAGATTAATTCAGAAAGGGTGTCAAGGGTATTTGTGTAGTGTTGTAGAAGAACAAATGGTGAATGGGGGTACTGACATAATTCCAGTTGTCCGTGAATTTCCGGACGTCTTCCCAAAAGAGTTACCAGGGCAATTGATAAAGCGGGAAATTGAGTTTACAATTGATATAGTACCGGGAACTCAACCTATTTCTAAGACTCCGTATAGAATGTCACCAGTTGAGATGAAGGAATTGAAACTTCAGTTGCAAGATTTACTAGACAAGGGATTCATTCGTCCGAGTGTATCTCCATGGGGTGCACCAGTTCTGTTTGTGAAAAAGAAGGATGGAACACTCCGACTTTGTATCGATTATAGGGAACTTAATAAGGTAACAATCAAGAATAAATATCCTTTGCCAAGAATTGATGATCTATTTGACCAGCTTCAAGGGGCACAAGTCTTTTCTAAGATTGATCTATGGTTCGGCTACCATCAATTAAAGGTTAAGGCTGATGATGTTGAGAAGACAGCCTTTCGAACTCGCTATGGTCATTATGAATTTCTGGTTATGCCCTTTGGAGTCACTAACGCCCCAGCAGCTTTTATGGATTTGATGAACCATGTCTTTAAGCCTTATTTGGACAAATTTGTGGTGGTTTTTATTGACGATATTCTCATATATTCGAAGACTGTAGAAGCTCGTGAGAATCATCTTCGTTTGATCCCTCAAACCCTCCAGGAAAAGAAACTGTATGCAAAGTTGAAGAAATGTGAATTTTGGCTGCTAGAGGTAGCATTTCTGGGGCAGGCTATCACTAAGGATGGAGTTTCTGTTGATCCACATAAGATTGAGGCAATCGTGAGTTGGCCAACTCCCACTAATGTGACCGAAGTGCATAGTTTTATGGGGTTAGCCAGCTATTACAGACGGTTTGTTCAAGATTTCTCAAAAATTACTGTGCCGCTTACACAACTGAATTGAAAAGGAGTTACATTTCAATGAATAGAAGAACGGGAGTCTGCTTTCCAAGAATTGAAGACAAAGTTGACCATAGCACCAGTTTTGGCCTTGCCATCCGGTACAGAGGGATATGTCATCTATAGTGATGCTTCGCACAAAGGACTTGGTTGTGTACTGATGCAAAATGGAAGAGTCATCGCTTATGCTTCTCGGCAATTGAAACCACACGAGAAGAGTTATCCCACGCATGATCTCGAGTTAGCAGCAGTCGTCTTTGCTTTGAAGATATGGAGACATTATCTGTATGGCACTACTTGTGAAGTGTACACCGACCACAAGAGTCTCAAGTATCTTTTTACTAAAAAAGAGCTGAATATGCGGCAGCGACGGTGGCTGGAACTTATTAAAGATTACGATTTGCAGATCCAATACCATCCTGGCAAAGGCAACACAGTTGCGGATGCACTTAGTCGAAAAAGTATGGGGACTTAGCAAATTTGGTTACAGGGCAAAAGGGATTGGCAGATGAATTGGCTAAAAAGGAAGTGGACCTTATATTACATGAGCAGGAGGCTTTAATAGTAGCAGTGGTGGCCCAACCAACCATACTTGAAGAAATTAGACTGCACCAGATGGAAGATGAAACTCTAAAGAAGATGTGTGATGAATTAGGAACTAAACCGAAATCAGGATTCAGTGGAGTAGATGCGGTGCTTAAATTTCAAAATCGAGTATGTGTCCCCAATGTGTCAAACTTTAAACAGAAACTTATGGAAGAGGCATATACTTCAAGATTTTCAATGCATCTAGGAAGTACCAAAATGTATCGAGATTTGAAGCAAAATCTTTGGTGGCCAGGTATGAAAAAGGAGATAGCAGAGTTTGTCTCTAAGTGTTTGCAATGTCAGCAAGTAAAAGCAGAGCATCAGAGACCAGCGGGGTTGTTACAATTCCTTCCCATCCCGGAATGGAAATGGGAACATCTGACCATGGATTTTGTTGTGGGGTTACCACAGACTCCTCGGGGTATGAACTCTATATGGGTCATTGTGGACCGATTAACTAAGTCCGCTCACTTCCTACTAGTAAAGACTCAGTATAATGCAGATAAATTGGCGGTAATATATGTGAATGAAATTGTGACGCTTCATGGTGTTCCGGTTTCTATTGTGTCAGATAGGGATCCTAAGTTCGTTTCCAGATTCTGGCGGAGTTTACAAGAAGCAATGGGTACAGAATTGAAGTTCAGCACAGCTGTCCACCCTCAGACCGACGGTCAATCCGAGAGAACGATACAGACTCTTGAAGATATGCTCCGAATGTGTGTGCTAGATTTTCAAGAAAGTTGGGAAACCCATCTACCATTAGTAGAATTTGCGTACAATAATAGCTACCATTCGAGTATAGATATGGCACCATATGAAGCTTTATATGGAAGACCATGTTGTTCTCCTGTGTGTTGGGCTGAAGTTGGAGATAAATCCTTGCTAGGGCCTTGTAGACACCCCATTTTTGACCGTCCTCAAGACTTGGACGTCACCATTGGAACACTTGGTGATTACCCTTGTTTGTGCTCGTCTTGAGTCCCCGGAGGTCTCGGTTGCGCGCCTTGCCTCAGGATCTCTCGACTCGACCGTGTTGTGTCTGGTTTTGCACCAAACACTTGTGTTTTGCCTTGAAGGGGCAGGGAATGCCTTGTGAGGCATCCCCACACATCACCGGCCATGGCTTGAGGCCACCGGCTAGTGATTTTGTGCCATCGGCAATGTATATTGCCGGTCGGCACTCTTTGTTGCCGATCGGCCATTTATTTTGCCAAAATGGCAATTTTGAATGGCCGATCACTGTTCATCTACTTTTAATCCCGTTTGACAAACACATTTGAGTTGAACTATTGGTTGGTTGTGCCATTTGTGCCTTTTGAGCTGTTTTTTATGCTTATTATGCCATGATATAGCATTTTTTTAAGTTGGTTTTGGTACACCATGCTTGCTTAGCATACATGCCTTGTAATGCCATTTTGTTGCCTTAACATGCCTTAGGTTGTAAACCATTGTTCTAGCATGTTTTAGGCTGGCTTTGTGAAGCTTTCATGTTTATTTTGCCATGATTAAGGTCTGTCCTTAGTTGTTTGGGTCGACTTTGGCATGCATTGTATAGCCCCTTTGCATTTTTGGCTTGTTGGCCTTAAGGGTGTGAGTGTATAGCATGCATTACTTGCTTTGATTTAGTGGGTTGGGACCATTTTCCATGTCATTTCAGTCCACTTAGTATGCTTGTATGCTTGCATTTCATGGTCTCTTTGATGTGTCAAAGGCTTGTGTTGCATGCTCCATGTTTTGGTCATTGTGCATGCTTTTGAATTCAAGTCATTTAGATGCCATCTAAGTAATCTTTTGGGCTTTGTTTTATGTGCTAAAACTCTATTTTGGGTCATTGAATTTATGCCATGTTTGGTCTTGTTAAGTGTGGTTCAATACCCTTTTAGCTTGCTTTGAATCTTGGACTTTGCTTGCATACATTGATTGCATTGTTTGGGTTGGTTCGGTACCATGTTCTTGCATGATTTTCAAAGCTTAATTTACATGCTAATTGTCCATGTTATGCCTCTTTCAAGTGTGCTTGAGAGTTGCCCTTTTGTGCTTAAGTATTAGCCCTTTAACATGTGCATGTGTGTGCGTGTGTTGGCCTCCATGTTTGAGCACTTTGGCCACTGATTTAGGCTTGTTTGAGAATTGCCTAATCATGTTTAAGTCCATCTCTTTGCTTGCTCGCATGCCTAGGTTGCATTGCATTGTGCATGCATTGCCTCACCTCTTGAAGTGAGTCATGATAGAGGTAGAAGCCCCTTGGTTTGACTATGTGCATTGCATTACATTTGAAATGAAAAATACACAACTTGGTCTCTTGGGCTATCACGCATTGAAATGCGCGCTTGATGGTCTGAGAAACAAGGACCATGTCCCTTTGAGTCATAAACATGATAAGGGATATGGTCGGTGCATACATTGCTTGAAATGCATTGCCATGCTGTGCCTTGCCCTCTGCTGCTGTCAATTGCAGGTTCTGCAGACATTGTTGGCCGACCGACAGTGTTCAGTGCCGACCGACCATAAATCCGTGGCCGATAGCTTCATCAACAGTCGATGAACACATCTTACTGTCGGTGGCCATTCTCCTCAGCCGGTGGTGTCTCCCAATGTCCAGGGAAGCAATTCTGAGACTTTGGCAGTTTTCAGAGGGGCAGAGCAGGGAAAACAGAGGCAGCCTACGCATGGCAGTGGACTTTCGAGCATGACCCGAGCACGCGTGCATCGAGCCCTCTTCCCGAGGCCCTTTTTCTTGCTTTCTTAAATTAATTAATTTGTTTAATTAATTTAGTTGGTCTGTAATAATTAAATAGCTAGGATAGTTAATTCATTATTCGAATTGTATTATTCTTTTGGTCCCTCTGTAGCGACCCTAATTTTCTTAAGTCATTATTTTATTATTATTACGGTTATTGTTATCTTATTTTATTTTTGGCTTTATTAATTTTGGTGGTTACATGAAATTTAAAGTGATATTTAATGAATTGAATGTTGTAATTATTAATTGGGTGGTTACATGAGATTTAATGGGATATTTAATGTTGTAATTAATAAATTTAATGTATATATATTTAATCTTATATATATAGTAACATAGAAGTATTCAACTAGGCTGAAGAGATCAAAAGAAAAGAGAAGAAATAAAACAAAAACGAGAGAGAGAAAGAGGAGAGGGAAGAAAATGAAAGATTAGGGTTTTGTTTTGGTGGCTCTATTAGTTTGCTAGATATTCTTTGATCTTCTATAAAATATTGTGAGTACAAAACCCACTTCCTTTGCTTTAGGTTAAATTCGTGTTTTTATTTATTTACTTATTTATTTATTTTTTTCTATTTGATGTTGGATTGATTTTGTATTTGCACGTAGATGATGGATTGATTTCACTTATTTTGATTAGTTATGTATGTCTTGTTTCGGGTTTTTATATGGATTTATTTTATGGTTGCAATCGCATTCATGGTTATATGGAAAATAAAATAAATTAGAAACCCATAGATAAATTCCTTATACTCCACCATGACTCCATGGATTGTAGTTTTATTTGAGTGTTGGTAAGAAAGAGTATAAAAAAAAGGTGAGGATTATAAAATTTATTTGAATGCCTTAGGCTTGGTATTGTTATGTTTGTTCTCATGAGTGAGATGCTTTGTATATGTATATTGTTGCCTCGTTCTCAAGAGTAGACGAGTGCTTTGATTTACGCGCGTACGTATATACTAACCATCCCGGGACGATATCCCCGTGCAAGTTTGGCTTCGGAGCGGTGTTAGGTATACGAGAGGCACATGGGATATATGTGTAGGCCAGAAGGGGAGATCCGAAGTGGTGGAGTTAAGGTACAAAGAATTTAATTACGAGGTTATTGGTATAGTGTGAATTATGTTGTTTTGTAGATCTTGAAAAATAGTCAACGACTTCGGTAAATTATGAAATTTGAGCAGAGGCATGTATACGAGATTCTAGACAATTCTTTGGTTTTAAATTGTTATTAAAAAGATCGATTAGAACTTATAATCGGATGATCTTGATTATTGTAGTTTTGATTTATTTTGGCAATGCAGAGTTTCGAGGTTGTTGTTAGGAAATTTAATTCTGTACAACTTTCGCCCTTTGAGTTTGGTTAATTCGAATTATTTAAACATGAAACGGTGCATTTTTATACTTCTTTAACAAATTGTTTATGGTTAAATTATACTAACTTTATTTTGCAGGATGGTGGGTCTTACTAACTTTTCATGCAGGGCTGACCCACCATATTTTTATTTCTATTTTGTCTATTTTATAATCAATTTATATTTTGTTGTGTACGGACAAGAAATTAAATGCCACCGTATCTCGAGAAACTACCCATTCGTCTCGGTACGGTTAGAACTACTTATCTTGTCTCGTAATAAGAATTTAATGTATTTTTGTTTGTGTTTGGTGGACACATGGGTGTTAAATCTTGTACTCATACCAGTATACTTGTATACTAATGTACTTTTTGTTTGTGTCTGGTGGACACGTGGGTCTCAATTCTTGTACTCATACCAGTATACCTGTATCCTGACCCGTTTTGTCTCCTGGCAACACGGGTGCGTTCTGTTTGAACGCAGCTGAGCTTCCTGTGCAGGATTAGTTGGGGCTACGGTGGTGACGTGGATTTACGATAGTGTTGGACCTGTCGTTTGGACTGCTTTTGTTTTATTGAGCTTGGGATTGATATTAGTCAATGTATTTATTATTCTCTGTATGACTTTAGTATTGGAATAATTTAGAATGGTTTGTAACCGTATTTTATTTAAGGTGTTTTGACTATTTAATGTTACCTTGATGTTGAGGTATTGGTTAGTTATGAAATTATGATGGATGGTTTGGTTGGCTTTTAGTTTTTGTTTCACCCCTAGGATTTGGATGATGGAATATTGATTGGGGTTTAGTCCTAATTTAATATTTAATTGTCCAAATTTTGGGGCGTGACATCCGGTGTGTCCGGAAGTAACACACAAACAACCAAATACCAACCCAAAAACCAAAGAACCTTCGCCCCACTATATATGCCCATGTCCAAAGCTCTGGGGGTTTTAATCAGAAAAGGGCACTTGAAGCCCCTAAAGCCACGGCCATTACCGGAAAAACTTCCTTCTACCCAGAACCCAGCCAAATATTGTGCATTTCACCAACAGTACGGTCATGACACCGACCAATGCTTCCAATTATGTCATGAGATTCAAGATCTCATTGATAATGGGGTGAATGTGCCTCCAGAAAAACCCAATGTCACAACCAACCCTCTCCCACCACACAACCAAGCTCCACCTCCTAAACGCATCAACTTTATCCAAACCGGGGTCACGTCATACGACCCTAGCATCTATATCACCCCGTCTCACCTACCCAAGCTGGAGGTGTTCCTTCCTGACTGCACTGACTTGTGCATGTTGGGCATCTCCAGAACCCAACCCGAACCAATAGTGGTGACTGTCGAAGACAGAACAAGGGAGATTTCAGTGGAGAATGGGATTATTGAGTCAGAATCTGAGGAATCTGGGAGTTTTGCTAAGGAGGCATACAGTCCGAGTGACTACATTCTGTTAGTAGGCCAGGTTGGGCCAAATGTGGAATTGCCGGTAGAGGCAGAACTTTGTGTGATACAGGGGGATGGATTTGGTCAGAGGATAGATGACTTGACGGCTGTGGAGGGGGACTTTGCTAACCTCCATTTTTTCAATGAATAAGACCCAGAGGGCGTGATAGTTAACTGGTTTGATTTTGAAGAGTCAGCAGAGGTTACCGGCTGGCTTGATAACCTACCAGACATTGTTGAAGAATCTCAGTTGGAACAGGGCCCGGCAGGGGCAAGGATATCAATTGTGGCCGGAAGGGCCGGGGATCACGATACATCACCGGAGAGCGCCGGTGCTAAAAATTTCGCTCAGGATCTGGACATTCTGAATACAGGAATTATAGAGCAGCCAGTTGTACTGACACAGTTGGAGCAAAAAGGAATCGAGGAGTTTAAGAGAATCAAAAAAGCGAAGGCCCCTGTGGGGACTGAAAATGCTGTATACATGAGGATAGAGAATGTTGTGAGCATGTGGACGGAAAGTACTGCGAGTACAATTGCACCGGAGCCGGACAGGTGTCTGTCGGCCGTCGATGGAATGTGGTGGGAGGACGATGATCTATGTCTTTCCCACACGGATGAGGATTGACTCTAATGAATATAAGAATGTGGCTAGTTCATATGTCAATGCAAGTCTTATTTGATGGGTTTAATGTTATTATTTTGAGGGCGTTACAGTCATAACCAATCCTCAGGCAGCATGCATCTTTTGGTTAACTGGAGAAGAAATGATAGGAATATATAGAAAACATAGGAGCCAAAATCTTACACTGCCAATAAAAGTAAATTTATAAACCAAAATTTATTTAGTTAGGCCTTGTTTGGGAACAGGCTAATTTAGTAACTTTTTGGCTATTTGGCTAAAATATGAGCTAAAAAAAACTAGTATGTTTGGGATGACTTTTTGACTTTTTACGAAAAGATGTGCAAAAAGTAGAGAGAAAAGATAATCTTTGACTTTTTGGTATGGGTTGTTAGCTTTTTGGCTAATTTAATAACTTTTTGGCTTAGTTCGGTTGCCAAACGAGGCCTTAGTCCCTTCCTCCCGCCTCCCGCCCCAGTGCGATGCCCCTGGGGAATCTATGACTACACATTTATACGGTTCTCGAGTGAGTTATGACTGCGACTGCATTGTAGTGAAAACTTATTAGGATTGACTTTTATTCCTTCTTATTTTGATGTAATAAGTGATTTAACTTTAACACAAGGCAACACAAAGATGTCAAGAAGGTCAAGAAGAATGTGGCTTGAATTGATGAGGAACTAAGCAAGGGCCTATAAAACAATGGAGAATCTAGCTCTTGATAGAGCTTATAGACATAAATGGTGAATGGATTTGTGTGCACAACCCCAACAACATATACAAACTTCATTTAATTTGGGTGAATATCTAATTCTTTCATGCAAAATTTGTCCCAATACCAATAGTTTCCAACGTCATTTTTCCAACTGTACCTGGAATACTAAAGAACATTCATTAATCCAGGTATTTAAAAGATGAAAATACATCAAAGTAAATGAAGGACCAAAGCAAAGGGTCAACTAATAAGCTCACCAATCCTTATCAAGTGATATCTCTGAATAGATATAGTAAATGAATTTTTACAGTGTTAATAGATATAGTTTGCTTGAAATAGTTCTCAAAATTAAATTCACAATACTTTAGCGTTGCTTGATCTAAGAAAATGATGATTACTTCTCAGTAATCCTTCATGTGTTGCACAGAGTTGTGATCTCTTAGAACTACAAGAACAAAACAAAATGCCTAAAGAACACATAGAACGTAACACTGTAATGCCAATGTTCAAAGAAAAAAGAAGCTTGCCCTCTGAAACAAACTGGACTGAACCTAGACATGTCCATCTCTTACTAAATTAAGAATAAGAAAGGGCAAGACCATGGCATATGCTTAACAAGCTGACATGATAAGTTTACACACATCCTCATTTTTTATGTGACTAATTTAGTAGTCATCCAAGACATAAATACCCAATTAAAACATTTTAAAATGAAACTTAAATCATATCAGAGATACTGTAACATAAATTTTTTATATTAAAAAGAATTTTCTAGTCCCTCTACTATTTTTCAAAGTGTATTCAAGTCAACAAAAAGATTTTAAAGAAAATGTATTTGGCTGATAAATATTATCAGTATACATTTAATCAAAAGAACTGCTATTTGCTTGTTCTATGATACACTATATGTATCAAAGATATGATGAATATGTATTCTGCTATACTCTTTAAAACTTATATACACAGAAGAAAAAAAATGGTCTACAACTATCTCAAAAAATCATATGAAAGGAAACACAGATTAAGATTCTTTTTGTTTTTGTTGATGTGGCACATACCCAAAGACATCAAAACTCCTATTATTATCCTAAGATATGATAAAGATCTTCCTCAAATATTTACCTACAGCCACCAAAAATAGAAGAAGCCTCTTCAATAAATTGATGAAGCTTATGAGGAAGAACATAGAATATCTGTGTTGCTACTTCCTTTGCAGATACAATCAACCTCTCCTTCCTTGATCCGGCATGTTTGGGCAGAAATCCAACTACAAACAACCAACAATACATATGATATTAGCTACTAGCCTACCACTATCACCAAATTGTTGCCAACACTAAGGGTGTCGAATTCATGAGCAACTTACCAAATGTAAACTCATCAGTAGCCAACCCTGAGGCAGAAAGTGCAGCAACAAAAGCAAAAGGACCAGGGATAGGAATAACAGGAATATTTTCATCCACACATAACTTAACATACATCAAGTTTCCAAAATACATTGTTTATGTCCATATCAATTAATTAACCCATGAAGCATCCAATTAAACTGTCATCTCGACTAAAATCTGAGTTCCTTTCAAACCTTTAGAGGACACATTACAAATTAAAATTAGCAATATTTTTGAATTTACAATTTTAAGGTCATATTATTGCAAAAAGATTATTTAAAAAAACCATTAGAATGAAAATTGTGATTGTTTCTGGGATCCTACATCTTAAGAGATTTGGTTTATTCAAAAGGAGCATTACATGCTTTCAATCTATGTGAACTAGAGAAAATACCAAATTGATTGTCAGTTATCACAATATAAAATTTAGTAAACCAAAATAAAAGAAGAAAATAAATTAAAGTGTACGAGTGTGTGGAAATTACAAACAGTTGTCTTTCCCTGCTATATTTGTGCGCTATATTAGCAGACTAGGGTGACCAAATCAGTCGAACAATCAAACATAACCAAAAAAAATAAAAAAATTACATCAACAAAGAGTATAGGATTAATGTGTGCGGGAATGAAGTGTGGTAAAGTCCATGATAGCATATGGAGGTGTATATATATGCTCTAATACTGTGATGTAAACCTTACAAGCTAACAATAAGGATTCAAATGCAATGCAGTCGAGTAGAGATTGACATGGCAGCCATCATTTTTCCAAAGGAGAACATTCAGTTCTTCTCATCACAAACAAACAGAAAATTATAACATGCTCACCAATTCCATACCAGGATCACTTATGCCTGGTGTTCCTGCATCACAGATTTGGGCCACAATTTCACCCTGTTGCAATCTCTTCAGAACTGCTTGTTCTCTTTGAGACTCATTGAATTTATGATAACTTAGCTGAAAATCTAAAGCTTACCATTAGAAAGAGAATAAGAATGCCAAATATCAGTTAGCGTTATCAAACAAAATCGATAAACCTATTCCCAGTTCAATTCCTTCCCAGATCTAGTTCAAGAACCTGGAATTCCCTTAGGGTTCTCTAATTTTAGATTCAAGAAATTTTTTTATTTTTATTTTTTATTTTATACAATCACAAATAAGTTTTCACAATCTAAAACAATATAATCACATGCTTTCAGAATTAATTCAAGAAACTAGAGTTCCTTAAGGTTCACTAATTTTACATAATTTTGGAATTGCTCAATCAAAACCTTGATTTTTTAGTGAAAATCCCCAAATCAAAACCCTAGTTTGAATCTACAAACCTGGTTGAAGGGTGGAAGTGTTCTTTGCATGCGTTCGTCTCTTCCGTCTCCTTTCGGCCATCTTCTCTCTCCGTCGTTACTTCTCTTTCTTTGTTCTTTTCTTCTGGTTCAGAGCTCTGTCTGTGTGTATTTTCTTTGTCCATCTTCTCCTTCTCACTCGTTGTTATGCCAGTTGGGGTTTGGATTTGGGATTTGGGGTCTGAGAGAGAGAGAGAGTGAGGGTTTTGAAGAGTTTTTGCAGAGAGATGAAAAAAAGAGAGAGGAGGGTTTGGGATTTGGGGTCTGATGGAGAGAGAGGGTAGGGGTTTGAAGATTTTTTGCAGAGACATGAGGGTTCGAACCCTCTCTCTTCTCCCTCTCTTCTAGTTTTATCCGATGACAGCTTTCTATCTTCCTTAACCCAATTAGAAGCCAAACAATTTGATAAAAATAAAATTTCTAATATATTTTTGGTCATTGGCGCCAGATGTATCTCAATTTGGCGTTTTTTTAATTTTCAGTCGAACCATTCACGGCATAAATTATGTGTCGTAAAAAGTATAATATTTTAAACGGTTGGCATTTTGTACGTAGTAAAAAGTGTAATTTTTAACAATTGACTTTTTGTGTGTCGTGGAATGTTCAATATTTTTAACGGCTGCTGTATGCATGTGGTTTATAGTTAATGTATTAACGGCATGCCATATGTATGTCATAGAAATGTTTTATTATTTACGGCTAACATTTCAAGCAGTAAAAAAATCATCGTTATGAGTATTCATGACCTATGTAATAAACATGTCGTGATTGGGAAATTATTTACGACATGCAAAAAAAGCAAGTTGTAAACGTGAGAAACCACGGCTTACATTTATTATATGTCGTTGATGTGAAACCGTAAAAATCCAGTTTTGTTGTAGTGAAAAAAAAAAGGAGGGAATTTTAAAAGGGAAATGTCCACCGCCGATCAGCAGATCACCCCAAAAAAATAAATAAAATAAAATATTCAAAACAATTTTTAGATTTGTTTTTTTTTAAAAAAATTAAAAATAATTTTAGAGCAATACAAATCAAAAATATATTTTTAAAATTTTAAAAATTATTTATGACCTCCTAAAAGATAAAATTATACAAAAATAATAAGTATTTTTTTCATAATTTCAGAGCAATAAAAATTAAAATTATATTTTTAAAATTTTAAAAAGTATTTATGACCTAAAAGATAAAAATATACAAAAATAATAAGTTTTTTTTTCACCCAATTTTTTTTTTAGTTTTTTAGGAAAAAAATTTGAAACTAGTTTCTGAAAATAAAAACAAACATATTGAAATTGATAATCTAACCATATTCTTAGAAAAAGTTTAAATTATCTCAATTTAGTCATCTCAACTTAAGAGTGTCTTTGGGCTCAATGGGTTCATTTTGTGATCTAATTCAATGATCATTTTAATTTTACAATTCAGTAACTAAAATATTCAAAACTCTTTCAAAAATTATAATAAAAAACACAAATCACTAAATTACATCATTCCACTAGTAAAACTTTTACAGACGAATAGTGTCATCGTCGCTAAATGGTTAACTCTTTGCCCACGCCAACTTGTCATCGCCAAAAGTAAGCACACTAGTAGCAACGCTCATTGTGTTGCTAAAACATAAGCCTCGTAGGTAAAAGTTTTGAAATTTTGGCGCCAACCAAAAAATTTGGCGCTAAAATAATGTTATGCCTTTTTAGCGACGGCAACAAATTTCGTTGGTAAAACTGTGTCACCAAAAATATACTTTTGGCGATGAAAAATTGACGTCGTCGCCAAAAGTGCAATTTCTTGTAGTGATATATCTTAAACAGATCAATAACATATATAACAGATCAATAACTTAGAGAGAAAAGATCAATAACATTCTATTATCTTCCATCAATAACATTCTATTATCAATAACAGATCAATAACATATATTTAACATTCTATTATCTTCCATCATCTATATATATAATATATATATTTGTGATCAATAACCATAAAAACCATATCATATATATATATTTAACAGATCAAGATTAGATCGAGATCATATATATATATATATACTTAAAATAAATAAATTTAGAGAGAAAAAAAAAAAAAGGTCAAACTGAGTTACAGAGATATATATATACTATAATATATATATATGTATGTATGTTTGTAAACCAAAATTAGATCGAGATCCCGAAATAGAGAGAGAGAGAGAGAGAGAGAGATACCCTTTGAAATCGGCGATGAGGGAGGATCGCCGGCAAGGGAGGAGTGGCACTGTGGCGGTGAGGGGCGAGGAGCCGTCGTGTGTGAGAGAGAGAGAGAGAAGAGAGAGAAGCAGCGGTGAGGGAGGAGGATCGACAGTGAGGTACGAGCGGCGGTGAGGGATGATCAGCGGTGAGGGACAATCGGCGATGACAGAGGATCGGCGTTGTCGTTGTACGAAAAAGAGGGAGAGAGGAAGGCGAAACCCTAGAGAGAGAGAGGGCAGACACAGCGGCTGTGTCGGTGTGTGTTGTGTGTGAAATAAAACCGTACACAAACACACACGTGTTATATATAAGCAGGGGCAAAATAGTAAATCCACATTGGGGGAACCGGGCCGGGTCCGGGGCTGAAACATGAATCCCCGTCCCCGGCCCGAATATCATCGGGGATTTAATTTTAATACCATCCCCGACCCGTTGGGGGTATTTTTTGGGAAATAACCGCTTAATTCGGGGTCGGGAGATCGGGTCCCCGTCGGGCCAAGTTCCAATTTCCATCTCTAGTCTTCTCCTCACCTGGTGGGTCCATTGCTATTTGATGGTACCCCTTGTAGGCATCCAGGAAGCTCATCCTTCCATGCCCCGAAGTGGCATCCACCAGTTGGTCAATCTTGGGTAAAGGAAAACTGTCTTTGGGACAGGCCTTCTTTAGGCTGGTAAAGTCCATGTAGACCCTCCATTTACCATTCTTTTTCTTCACCACCACTGTATTTGATAGCCATGTCGGGTAATTTACCTCTCGAATGGCCCTGGCCTCCAGAAGTCTGTCTACTTCCTCTTTCACTGCTTCGACGTGCATCAACGTCAGTCTTCTTGCTCGTTGGATTACAGGTTTGGCCGACCTGTCAACGTTTAGTTTATTACAAGTGACCTCAGGGTCAATGCCAGGCATTTCGTAAGGTGTCCAAGCAAACACCTCAATATTTGCTCTCAAGAAAGCTTCCAACTATTTTTCCTCTTCTTCGGCTAAGCCCGAGCCGAGAAGAAAAAAGCGTTTTTCATCTCCCTCTTGGACGAGGATTTTTTTCAATGCTTCTTCACTCTTCTCGGCTGGCTCCTTGCCGACATCCTCTAGGACTTCCACATCCTTGTTTTTGATATCTGCCTTCTCTGGTTCTTGTATGCTGCAGGTGGATTTCATTGTTGCCATGGAGTTGTTCTTTGCCTGCAGCTGATCTCCTCTGACCTCCTCTATCCCATGCTCTGTTGGGAACCGTAATAGTTGATGCAATGTTGAGGGAACAGCCCCCATTGTATGCAACCATGGCCTTCCCAAGGTAATATTATAAGGGGAAGTGTGTCGATTATGGTGAACTCTATTTTTATCTTCTTCGTGCCAGCCTGTACATCTAAGCTTACTGCTCCCAGTGGCCATGTCAGCGTTCCATTGAACCCGACCATTGGGCCATTAGATTGTTCCATATCGTCTGGGTGAAGGCCAAGCTCCTTGTAACGTCGGACATACATGATGTCACAAGAGCTGCCTTGGTCGATGAGGATGCGCTTCACTTGGCACTCTCCAACCTGGAGGGATACTACCAAGGCATCGTTGTGCGGATGTTGGACCATCTCCAGGTCGGCTTCAGTAAAGGACACTACTGGTCCCTGGTACTCCTCGGCCCGATGTCTTTTCTCCCCTACTTGGTACACATGCTGTAGATGCTTTACCTTATGGGTCTCCCCCCGTATTTCATTTTCGTTGACTTTCGAGTGAATTACATTAATTACCCGAGGTCCTCCTACCTGAGGTTGCTGTGCTGGGGGAGGCGGAGTTGCTGGTACCTGAGGCAGTCTTGCCTGCTCTTCTCTGGTCCTGGCCTCGTCTACAAGGTCCCTCAAATGGCCCTGTCTCACCAGGTCTTCTAGATGTGACTTTAGGGCTCTGCAACCCTGAGTTAGATGCCCATCTTCATTATGGTAAGCATAATGCTTACCCAGGCTCCTTTCCATAAATTCTCTTGGTACCCTAGCTGGTGCTCTAAAATAGGGTTGGGTTCGGATTTTGTCCAGGACTTTGTGAATTGGGATTCGAAATACAGTTGTGACTGCCTGTGCAGTTCTTAGCCCTATCTCTTGCTTGTTGGATCCGTTGTTACCTCGGCCTCGCTTCGGAGAGCCGTTTGTTTTCTCCTGCTTTGTTGCCTTAATCCCTGGAGTGTCTTCCTCGGCTCTGGCGTATTTCTCAATTCTGGCTATGAGCTCCTCCATGCTTTTTGGCAATGTCTTTGCCAATGACTTTCGTAGTGCGCAATCCTCTTTCAGGCCGTTCTTGAAAGACACGACCGCCACCTCTTGGTTGCATTCAGGTATTCGGTTGAACACCTCATAATACCTTTTTGCGTAGGCCCTAAGGCCTTCATCCTCACTGATCCTCAGAGCCATCAAGGCGTCCAACCTTAATGGCTGTAATTTGTTTGTCATGAACCTGGCCACAAACATCTTGGCCAGGCATTCCCAGGTCTTCACACTTCCCTTGGGCAATTTGTGAAACCAGTCCGATGCAATCTCCCTGAAGGATGAGGGGAACACCTTGCAGAGCAACGGCTCGCTCCCAGTATATAGTGCCATCGAGTTCAGGTATAATCTTACGTGAAAGTTGGGGTCCGACTTACCATCGTATATCTGGAACCTCGGCATACTGAATCTTTTTGGGGCCTCAACTTTATCTAACTCTACTGAGAATGGTGTTCTCGGTTTAACTGTTAAAGTTACCCTGGCATGATCCTGCTTCCTCTTGAGGTAATCTCTTAAGTCCTCTTTGGTTCGCCCAGGAGCTCGGCTATCTCCTGATTTCAGTCTCTTAGGTGCATTACTTTCAGCTTCGTTGTGAGCCCTTTTTGATCTTTCCCCGTTGGTTGCGTCGAAGCACAACTTCTGCCTTTGAACATGCTGATGTTCTCTGGGGTCTACCTCCTTGGTGCGATGTGTCCTTCGAGATTCTTCCCTTCTTGGCTCTCCTCGCTTGACCTCCCTTGGAGGCCGGTGAGAGAGTTTTTCGCTCCTGGCATGTTGGGGGGTTATAGGGATTGTTTTCTGCCCTTCATTCTGGGCATGGGCCGTTGGGATCGGCGTGTCTTGCAGCAGGAACGGTGGCTGCATGACGTTATTTTACATCATAAAATTGATGACAGATTGCAGGTCTGCCAATTTATTTGCCATGGTCTTCACTTCATCGTCCCTCCGTAGGCATCTTTCTTTCCATACTTGGAGGTCATCCTCGTTGTAGTAACCGCTTTGGTCCGTTTTCTTTGGTACGTCGCCCTCTTGGCCAACGTCCTTTCCTCCGTGATTCTGGTCTTTATTGCAGTTGTCTTCTTCAACGTCAAGGTCTACAGGTCTCCCACTCCCAGCAGGAGTGTTATCCCCAATCTTCTCTTTCTGTCCGTCGTTGTTGGCCATCTATTCTTCTTAAGTTCCCACAGATGGCGCCAAATTGTGTGAGTGATTTTCTAACCACACTGCCAACTCAGTATTCAGCTGAAGAGCACTTGGCGGAATAGATGGCGCCTGAATGACCTGCAACAGAAAGAAGAGATTTCGGCGGTGGTTTGTCCACCCGGGGGCACTCCGACTATCAAGTCAGTTATCTCAAAGATAACTCACTGTTCTGAATATAAATTGCGTATCTTAGACCCATGGGGGTACTTTTCTTTTATAGTTAACTCAATCTTAGTCCCAATGGAAGCCCTGCTTCAATGGACTCTAGCTCAGTGCTCATCTTGGACTCCTCAATAGATAAAGATAAACTCCCAAAGAGCTTTATCCTTATCCAGGCTGAGTCCCTTCCTCATTCAAGAACTCTTGTCCCTTATCCGCTTATCCTGGATTCCGATATCCTAGGAGATAACCTTGGCCTTGCGGAGATCACCTCGGCATCATAACCAGGACACGTGGCACCTCGGCTGACACGTCGGCGTCACCTTGGCCACGTGTTGGTACCCATAATGTATGTCCCCACAATATATATATTTTACAGGAAGCAGGCTATTTTTCTTTATTGGGTTCCATTGTTTTTCAACTAGAAAGATAGGGTAAAGTGGTTAAATCTCATAGAAAAATTCTCAAAACAAAACTTTCAATATTTTGAAACCACATTAATATATGATGGAGGGAGGGAAGTATAGCAAAAGAATGTAGGGCAAAAGAGGAGAAGGAAGCCTAAATGGAAAAAGGTATATTCCATGCCTAAAATGCTAGGTTGAGATGATAAGGTAAAAGCCTTAGATAAAAACGATTATGTTAGACTTCTTTTTGTGGACCATGGGGATGCCGGAGCTATGGTGAATCGAGAGCATTTATTAGATCTGTAGAAATGCCTTGCACCATTACAGTGAATATGTAATGCCATAATATTTTATATATATATTTTTTTTATATATTATTTTTTATTATTTATGTAACATGTTAAATTCTTTTAATAGGTTTTTTGGAATAATTCTTTTAATAGGTTGAACCAAGTGAAAAGGAGGCCGATCAAGTAGCTATGGACGATTTTTTGTGTTTATTCCCGAAAACTATACCCTATATATTTGACAGGCTAATAAAAGTCTTTCATTTCACGAATCTAATTTTTTCGTGAGTGTTACTAATGTTGTATTCACGGAAAAATTGGATTCGTGGGATGAAAGGCTTTTATTAGGCTGTCAAATATGTAGGGTATAGTTTCCGGGAATAAACCCATAAAATTCTCCATAGCTATTCGATCTGCCTCCTTTTTCACCTGGTTTATTCAAAGAATTATTCCAAAAAACCTATTAAAAGAATTTAACATGGTGCATAAATAATAAAAAATAATATATAAATAAAAACAAAAATATAAAATACTATGACATTACATATTAACCGCGGTGGTGAAAGGCATTTCTACAGATCCAATAAATGCCTCCCGATTCACCATAGCTCCGACCTCCCATGGTGCACAAAAAGAAGTCTAACATGATCTTTTTTATCTAGGGCTTTTACCTTATCATCTCAACCTAGCATTTTTGGCATGGAATATACTTTTTCCCATTCAGGCATCCTTCCCCTCTTTTGTCCTACTTTCTTTTGCTATCCTTCCATCTCTCCATTATATATTAATGTAGTTTCAAAATATTGAAAGTTTTGCTTTGAGAATTTTTCTACGAGATTGAACCAGTTTATCCTATCTTTCCAGTTGAAAAACAAGGGAGCTTAGTAAAGAAAAATAGCATGCTTCCTGTAAGAAGCAATGCAAGTTCCAAAGCTTTGTTTCAGGTAACATATTTATTTTTATGTGTTTTTGTTAAGAATTTATTTATTAACTTAATTACCCCACTATTATGAAGATTGAGAAAAGTAATAAATGTCTTTTAAAACACAACTTTTTGTTCATATTGTGACTTAAATACCCTCACTTTGTTTCTTTTTTTATTTATTTTTTCTCTCTTTTATTTTTTTATAGCCACATTTTCAAACTATTTCATTTCTCACCCTTTCATTGTCGTCGTACTTCACATTTATTTTGTTTTTATCATTGAGAACATTGTTAGACAAAAAGAATACTGATCAATATAATGATTTCATATTTATTTTATTTTATTACAAAAACTATACCATAATATCATTATTATTTTTGTTAGATTGACTTTACAATAAATATATATATTTTTTTTCTTTGAGAATTTTTGTACTAGATTGAACCACTTTACCCTATCTTTCCAGTTGAAAAACAAGGGAGCCCAGTAAAAAAAAAATAGCATGTTTCCTGTAAGAAGCAATGCAAGTTCCAAAGCTTTGTTTTAGGTAATATATTTATTTTTGTGTTTTTGTTAATAAGTGCATTTGTTAAGAATTTATTTATTAACTTAATTACCCCACTATTATAAAGATTGAGAAAAGTAATAAATGTCTTTTAAAACACAACTTTTTGTTGGTATTGTGACTTAAATACCCTCACTTTCTTTCTTTTTCTTGTTTTTTTTTTTCTTAATCTTTTTACAGCCACCATTTTAAACTCTTCCATTTCTCACCCATTCATTATCTTTGTACGTCACATTTATTTTGTTTTTATCGTTGAGAACATTGTTAGACAAAAAGAATACCGATCAAAGTGCCGTAATTGAAAAAATAAAAAATTGTTTTAGCCTTTAAATCTTATTGTGCATAAGTATTTATTGAGTTAAATAGAGTTACATAAGAGATTCAAAGTGTCATAGCATCCCTTAGTGAAAATAACATGAAAGTAAGCAATGAACATTAAACAAGTTATCTGTATCAACTTAATGTTATGTAAGTTTGCCCCGTTTAATACTTATGTTATCGAGTCATGCCATTTTTTATTTGTATTAAACAACAGTAAACCCTGACCAGCTAATTTCTTATACAATTCAAATCATGATATTGTGGTGTGTCTAAAATTTTCACCCTTAATTCTAGTGGTAAGTAGATGGCCATATTTTGTAGCAAAAGGTCAGCTCAGTGATAAGTCGTGACATGTTATGTGTTAAGTTAAATTATTTTCAATATTAAGTGAACAACAAAATCTTTTTATTTTTTTTATTATTATTAAAGGTGGGAAGCAGTTTTATTTTAATATCGAAGAAAATTTCAATTTTTTTTTTTGATTTTAATCATTACCAATCAATAATTGAAATTTCTTTTCGTATTCCCGTCTACGGATTAGAAATGATTTTTTTAAATTATAATATACAAAATTTACTTTTTTATATAGAAAAAATATCCATTATAATTGTTTTCAAAAATCTCATTTTGTATATGAAAAAAATAATATTTTAATTATTCATAAAAGTACTACACAGTTAATCTTTCTTTAAAACAGGGGTATAGTTGTCCCATTAGTAAACTAATTGTAAATATTAAAAAATACCACATGGTTGCCAATTATGGTTAACTATTTTCTATAAAACAAAGTAAAAGTTAGTTGTCAATGCATGTAACGCCCCAAATTTCTAGCCCAAATGATAATACAACAATCATGGCTCTTTCAAAGAAAACCGAATATAAATCTCCAAACTTACATTACATGATACAATAGTTCTTCATGCAACAATACATTAATCCAACAACAAGAAAATAAACAAATAAATACCCACAATGGTTTACAAGTTTCCAAGGCTTGAGCCTGGTTACACAAAATGGTTATTCAAACCCACACACATATAGCCCTTGGCTTACACACAGAGTCACAGCAAAATGACAATCTCGTACTCTCAACACGCATCCTCGCCTTTAGTTAGGTGGCATCACCACATTTTTTCCTACACAAAAATCCCGCAGGGTGAGCATAAAATCCAGTAGGAAATCTTTAACAAAATATATACATTTTATACAAGTCTCAAGAGATGAAATGCACATGCCATGTTATGCCCTTTTGAAAGAAAATCACATCTTCATCTTTGAAAACCATCATGCTCAATGATGTCATGCAATTTCAATTTTTCAAAACTTAACAATTCATTTTAAGAGCGGTAAATACGACTCTGGTAATCCCTAGGTCGGTGTCTGCAAGTAGACTATACAAGTGCTACCAATTTGTCATTTTTACCGGTATTAACCAGAAGGCTCGACACCTATCCGTGCGGGTTTTCGGTCTTTTACCCCGGACTCTTAGACCAACTCATTCAATATCATTTACACCACCTATCAAGACTTACCAATGTATTTACCCCAAAACCATTCCATGAAAACTTGTTTCGCAACATTACTTTCTCAATGCAAGTTTTCAAATCAACTTTCAAAGTTTAATGTAATCAAATGAATTGATATGCCAATAACACAATTCTTTCTTTTCAAGTATCTTCAGCAATTAGTCATTTCATGACTATTTCAATGTTTTAAACAATAATTTTCAAAATGAACAATAATTATCATATTCCCTGAAATTTATCATTTATATAAATATAAATAAGAAAATTTCCAAATATCCATTTATTTTAATACACAAAATAAATATAACAATTTCATTTATTGATTTTCAGTCTCTTAAAAAAAATTCCAAAATTCTAGGTTTTCTCACCAAAACTATACAACTCAAATATTTTGAAAAAAAAATTTTTCAAAATCATTTTTTCTTCAATCAACGAAAATCAAAAACCATAAGATTATTTTAAAAGAACAAG